GACTCCAAGCAATAGCGAAGCCGTGAAATTAAGGCTATGTTTGGATGGCTTTTTTATTGTTTCTTAAAATGGCTTTTTAATACAAAAATTAAAATTTCTTTACTAAAAAGCTGCTTTAAGAAGCAGTAAAAAAGCCGTCCCAAACGAAGCCTAAGTTTTTTATGTCTGACTTTTGTGAGAAATGTAATCTCTGATTTGGATTCATTCAAACCCTTAGATACCATCACGCAACTCCATTCTTTTAAGAGCAATGTTAGTGCCATCGTGTAGCTCACCCTTGTAAACTGTACCAAATCCTTCTCTGCCGATAACATTTTCTTTGCTGAAGTTGTTGGTTACATTCCTCAAGACTTGGTTCAAAATCCCATGTTTTCAGCTTCAATTTCTTGCACATCACTAGGAGCATTCCTTGCTTACCTATAGTTCTCCCTTTTGGCTGCTCCCATATTTGTGCTTGGTTATGCTGCCACCATAATCTTTACTGTGTCTGAATCTGAACCAAAGTGGTCGAAGTCAAACCATGGGAGGTCGGGCTCGACGCCAAACATGGGATCACGGGTCTAGTCACGAGAGTACGCGAAGGCGGAATCGAAAACGTGTGTTTCGACAATAGCAGAGGCAGCTACTTCGTCGGGTTTCAGATCGCAATCATGTTGTCCGTCTCTCTCTGCCGGAACAACCAAATCATGTTCAATTATGCTTTATAGATCAAAGAGTTGCTCGTCGGGGTTTAGATCCCGGGTTGCGTGTTGGAACATAGGGGAGTTGAGAATGAAGGCGGCGATTTGATTGCAGATTGAGTGATTGGGTAGGAGACTGCAGGAGTGGACTAGGAGCAAGAGCCGAAGCGGAGTGTGGGACGAGGTGTGCGCGATTGCAGGAGCAACCCCATTAGGACGTGTGGGCATGGTCGTAGGTCGGTGATCAGTCATGGGATCAGGCCATTGGAGTGGAAGTTCGCGAATGAGCATAGTGGGGTAGAATCGTACTGGAGCCGGGCCCATCACACGAAGAGGAGTGAAGGCACAAGTATGGTAGCCGACATTCTTCATATTCTCTTTATAGAAGAGCCGAAATTAGACAATAAATCATCTATTCAATCAATTCATACATCCAGTTGATCGCCGTAAACCGCTCATATTCTTCGACGTCGATCGTCGTCGACCACCCATCTTCTTCAGCGGCAACTATCATCGACCACCCATCTTATTCGGCGTCGGTCTTTGTCAACCACCCATTTTCTTTAGCTTTGATCGTCATCGATAATCCATCAGCTTCGTCAGTTCGTCATTCTTTACAACAACTCATGAAATGGATATGCGGAAGAATTGGATATGCTATAAGGGACACCAAAATCTGAGAAGCAAATCAAGCTCAAGGCTCAAAATATCATCATATTCATCATCCTTTCCTACTACAATACTAGCACATGTAAACTAGTCATATAACATTCAATACTTTTTATGTAACAAATATGTACCAACTAGATAAGTTATTCTTGATGAAAACTTTAACTAAGATGTTCCACATCAGCTAGGCTGCCCCTCTTCCAATATCAGAGTCAGTGGTTTTCTTAGCAATTTCTTAGCAAACGACTAGGAATATTCCGTTTTTTTTTTTTCGATTCATTTTCATGTAAAAAACTTTTAAATATAGAGCAAAACTTGGAGAGGGGAGGGGTATAAGCTAAGTACAAATTTTTAAAATAAAATCGTATAAAATTTTTTTACGTGAAAATGAAACGAAAATAATAATAATAATAATAATATCATAAGCCTTTTTTTAGGACATTTAGATCAATTAAGGCAGAGTCATACACACATCGCATATACAAGACTCAAACTTTAGACCTCTTAGGCTTCGTTTAAGACGGTTTTCTTCTTGCTTTCTAAAACAACTTTCTAGCACAAATTTTTTTTGAATTTGAAAATTTTGTACTAAAACTCTATTTCAAGAAACAGTATGAAAGCTATCCCAAACGAAATCTTAGTTGGTTGCCGCAATGACTGCGAACTGGCTTTCTTGCAGAGGACATGGGGGGCCTAAGCCGGCTGTTTACCTAACAAATGGAGCGAAAAAAAAAATATGTCTGGATTTATTTATAGATCATTTGATTAAATTAATGTTATCTTTGGTTTAATTTAACGGTTTAAGTTAATGTTCATTTTTTTGCGTTATATATTACTCTATTTACATATCTAACAATTAAAACTTTAATATTACATAAATATCACCCATAGTTTACTTTCATATCAAATATGGATGGCAGGAATGAAATATATGGGTAATGAGAATGAAATATGAGTGACATATTTGATATTAAAATAATATAAGGTAGTATGTATGTAATATTAAAGTTTTAGATGTTAGATATGTAAATAGAATAGTATAAAGTGGTATGTATGTAAATCTCCCTTTAAAAATTTGTCTGATAAACTGGTGAAATATGTGTTGAGGGAGAAGACGTGAGTGAGAACTGCATGGCTTATACGTTAGCGTTTTAGAAATTGGCATACTAGTGTGATTTGTACCCTTTGTTGGAGTTGATAGGTGCTTAATTATCAGCTGTGTCAGTAGCATGATAGGAGAGACTATTACGCATACTCCTATGACCTATCATATGAAGACACATGAATTTTCTCTCTGTGACTAATGATGTTATCAAGTTGCTCAAACCCATTCATGTGCACACTAAACTTGCGAAGAGTAGCAGCCAAGAGAGCTCATTATTGATGTGGCCAAGAGAACTTGCTATTGGAACTCATGAGAGAGTTTGCAAAATGAAGCTCTCTCATCCTCAATGTAGAACTCATCAAGAGAACTTGACCAAGTACTTGAACATCAATCAACCAACAAAACTTGTGACATTTTTACGGCCGGCAAGCACCCTTTAAACCTTGTGAAATACGATTACTTATATTACTCAAATATAGTCATTTCTATGTGACAGAATAACAGTAAGTGTTAGGTTTTGATTTAGTTTTAGGTTAAGTTGTTCCGCAAGACATCACACTGTAGGTTGATGTATTTACGGGGAAATTAAATAAAGCTTTAAAATGTGTTCCTCCTAAAAACATGTTCTCCCCCCCCTCTCTCTCTCTTCCTCAAGAAGCTTCTTCTTCGTCGAGAAAAAAATTCAAACAAGTGATATCAAATCAAGGTGGAGGGATCAAGGGGAAGAAAGGAAGTGCTTTTTGTATTAAAAAAAGAGAGCTGGAGTGGAGGTGTAAGCGGATTTGGTTGGTTTCCCATGGTTGCGCTTGAGAATGGGCGCATGCGAGCATAGGAGGTTTGGTCGTCGCAGGTGGCTGAGTCGAGCGCACAGGGTGCGCATGTCGCAGGCGGGGGCGGCGTGATCAGTCGGGATGGTATCAAGAAGCACATTCGCATGCATGAGTCGGGACGAGTGGTCGTAGATCGCGTGCTAGCATGCAGGTGCTAGGCCAGAGCAGATCTTGCGTGAACATGTGAGAGAACATGGCGTACATGGGCATTGGGCCAAGCGTGCAACCACAGTTTTTGTTTGACCATTACATTTTCGTTGTTTTAAGAAAAATTTTGGATTAAGAAAGTATTTTCTACAACATATTTCAATGAAGGCAAATTCAAACACACATTTCATACGCAAGACTCGAACCTAAGACCTCTTAGTTGATAACCTAAGCTTCCAACCATAGGCGGAGGCAGGGGGGCCAGAGGGGGCACGTGCCCCCCCTAAAAAAAATTCAGATGAGTCGCAGTGTGCCGTTTGCAAAGAGTCTTTTGAGACGGCGGAAGTGGCCAAGCAGCTTCCTTGCACGCATGTATTCCACAAGGACTGCATTTTGCCATGGCTTGGAACTCCAACTCTTGTCCAATTTTCCGATACGAGCTCCGAAAGGATGATCAGGACTATGAGCAGCGAAAGAGTGATAGGAACGAAGCGCCAACGTCGACTGTGGAGATGGAGATTGCGGGTTCTGGCGGTTCAAGTGGGTGATGGAAGCAAAAGAAAACAGAACAAATAAAATTTTCTGTTCACTAGATATCTCACGGACCAACAAAACAAAAACTTTCTTGTTCACGGGCAGAAGAAGATAAAAAAAAGTGCAAAAAAAAAACTTCTGTCTTTTACGGAGAACAAAACAGAGAGAGCGTACACAATTTTGTTTCTTCGCGATACTAATACAGGCAAACAAAAAAAAAACAGTTTTTAAAACTGTCTAGTAATAAAAATAAAATAAACTAAACTCAAACAACGCATCGTTTGGTTTGAAAAAATTCAACTGTGGGACACCTGCGGGATCTGAGGAGCAGAATGCCAATGGGCAACGGTGTTTCAGGGGATTAGGATATCGCTGCCATGGCCTTTCAGGAGATTAGGGTCTCAAGCTGATGCCAACAGTGCAGGGGATGCGCAAGGTAGTGCGAGTGGGAATGATGAAACTTCGTGGTTATATTTTCTAGGTTATTTACTAATGTATTATTCCATTTTCAACTTCCACAATTAACAGAGATTGAGGTTTCTGTATATGCTCACTTTTTGGCTCTTTTAGAAGGCTTTGGTTGTAGAGAATTGAGATTCATTAGATGCTAGTGCAGTTAATAAAATGCATGGTATGACAAATGTAGCTCAAAGAAAGTGGTTGTTTTTTAAAAAAAAAAGTCGCAAACGGAACTATTTTAATGTATTTTAACTTTTCATATCAGACAACAAACATAACTATTTTAATTTAGGCTCCCTCTGAATAAAATTTCTGGCTCCGCCACTGCTTCCAACCAACAGATCAAGATGAGCTGGGTATTTATATGCCACCTAACCTCAGGTCTATATCATCAATGCATATATTTGAAAAATATATATTTTGTTTGAAATAAGATAATATTAATATTTTTGTTTGATTTAAAATTTTGTGTGCTATATGAATAAATATAAAATTTTAAATATAAGATACGTAAATATATAAATTTTTAGACTTTAGTAGTTTATATTTGTAAATTCCTCTTTCATTTAAGATAACAAATTAGAGACGCATGCTTAAAAAAAAAAAGAATAAATTTGGAAGGCCAACTTCCCGCGTTTTGCCGTTACAATTTGTCTCCAAGTCAACAATTTTGTCCACTTTTTTTATGAATGGCTACATGCCTGGTACAACTCCCCACTCCGGCGGAGACCGAAGGGCCTACTACCTCCGGCTTATCGCCGCCGCCTCTTCCCTCTTTCATCTCCGCCAAATCCTTTCCCACGCCATCATTTCCGGCCACCACCCTGACCTGCCCACTACTACTAAGCTCATCCACCGCCACTCCGACCTCTCCAAACCGCCTTCCTCCGCTCTTCCTCTCGCGCTTTTCAATTCTCATCCCCAACCTGATCTCTTCCTCCTCAACGTTCTTCTACGCTCCCTTCCCGCGGCCTCCGCCCTCTCCCTCTTCTCCAACCTCCCCCAACGTCATCCCCATCTCCGCCCGGACAGCTTCACTTTCTCCTTCGCCCTTTCCGCCGCGGCTTCTCTTTCTTCTCCTTCCACCGGCCGCGCTCTTCATGGCCAAATCATCTTGGCTGGCGGCCTTGACACAGATCGTTTTATCGGGTCCGCACTGACCGATTTCTACTTCAAGTTTATGCAGATCTCCAATGCCGAGAAGGTGTTCGATCAAATTCCCCATCCGGATACAGTTTCGTGGAACTCCCGCATTTCAGGGCTTGTCCGCTGCTGCTCTTTCCTCAGAGCGGTAAGGGCCTTTGGGCGGATGGTAGCGCTTGGAAATTGCGTTGATTCTACAACTCTGGCTGTTGTTCTCCCAGCCACGGCTGAGCTCCAGGATCTTATTTTGGGGAGATCCATGCATTGCTTAGGGTTGAAAACAGGTATGGAAGATCAACCCCATGTTGTCACCGGACTCTTATCATTGTACTCCAAATGTGATGATATCCCTGCTGCGGAAATCATCTTTGAGGAGATTGACCAGCCTGATATTATTCACTGCAACGTGATGATTTCTGGCTATTCTTCCACTGGTTGTATTCGATCTTCAGTTGATTTATTCAGGGATTTGCAGTTTTCAGGTTGGCGGCCAAATTCCAGCACGCTTGTGGCTCTGATCCCTGTAACTGATCCATTTGGCCATGAGTGCCTCTGTAGAGAAATTCATGGGTTTTTGGTCAAGACTAGGCTCGATCTGGATTTGTTGGTATCCACTGCCCTCACCACTGTTTATAGTAAACTAAATGATATTGAATCAGCAAGGAAGGTTTTTGATGCAATGTCTGAAAAGAGCTTGGCGTCATGGAATGCTATGATATCAGGCTATGCACAGAATGGCTTGACAGAGTTTGCAATCTCCCTCTTCCAAGATATGCAATCACTCAATTTTAAGCCTAACCCTGTCACAGCTGCCAGTATCCTCTCAGCCTGTGCGCAGCTTGGAGCTCTTACATTGGGGAAATGGATCCACCAAATAATAATCCATGAGGATCTCGAGTTAAATGTCTATGTATGCACTGCACTGATCGACATGTATGCAAAATGTGGGAACATTGTTGAAGCTCAGAGGATATTTAACGGCATGGCTGAAAAAAATGTAGTTTCCTGGAATGCAATGATATCTGGCTACGGTCTTCATGGTTATGGTCATGAAGCTTTAAGGCTCTTCAGTGAGATGCTTTCTGCACAAATTTCTCCAACTTCTACCACATTTCTTTCAGTCCTTCATGCTTGTAGCCATGGTGGATTAGTGGAAGAGGGCCATGATATCTTCCTATCGATGGCCCGCAATTATGGAGTATGTCCGCGGGCTGAGCACTATGCATGTATGGTTGATCTCCTAGGTCGTGCTGGCCGGCTCATTGAGGCCCTGGATTTCATAAGAACGGCTCCTAAGGATGTTGGCCCTGGTGTCTGGGGTGCTTTCCTTGGTGCTTGCAAGGTCCATAAGGTGACTAGCCTTGCAAAGTTGGCCTCAAAAAAGCTGTTTGAGCTTGAACCAGAAAATGCTGGTTACTATGTTCTACTCTCCAACATTTACTCAGCCAGCCATAACTTCCTGGAGGCCGCAGCAGTGAGAGAGGCGGCCAAGAGAAAAAATCTTGCCAAGCTGCCTGGTTGCACTATAATTGAGGTGAATGATGTTGTTCATAGCTTTACGGCTGGTGATAGATCTCACCCTCAAACCTTAGCCATCTACTCCATGTTGGAGAGTTTGCTAGGCAAGATAGTGGAGGCTGGGTACCAAGCAGAGACACAAGCAGTTTTGTATGATGTGGAGGAAGAAGAGAAGGAACAAATGATAAAGATTCACAGTGAGAAGCTTGCTATTGCGTTTGGTCTCATCAATGCAAAGTCGGAAAGTGAGATTAGAATAATCAAGAATCTCAGAGTATGCTTAGATTGTCACAACTGGACCAAGTTCATATCCGTGGTTACCAAGAGGGTGATTGTTGTCAGGGATGCTAGTAGGTTTCACCATTTCAGGGATGGCATGTGCTCTTGTCGGGACTACTGGTGAATGGTAATATTCTCTTTCCTTTTGCAATTGAATTACCTCAGGTGCCTCATAATGCATCTTTTTTTAATTCAAGCTCGATTCAAAAACATGGAGCTGGTTTGAATTTAAACGTTAGGATAGTGTAAAATAATATAAGCTCAGTAGACGCCTAGCTAAAAGATTAGAGATGCTGAACTAAAGACACTTGATTCCTTTTCTTTATCTGAACTAATTTTAATATTCATTCTGTCTGTATACAGGAAGTATACAATCAAAGAATATAAGCTTTCAGCCTTGTACAAAGGTTTAATTTAAGGGAAAAAAAAAAAAACACTAAAGAAAATCTGATGACAATTTTATATTCTGGTACCCACGTGTTTTCCTTGATTGCAAGTTGTTATCTAGAAGCAAATCACGTTTGAAGATTTGCTTCCATTTAAAGATTTGATTACTTACATAGAACCTGGCCCAGCTGCATTATGTGTGCTCTGAGGCTGGAATTATGTACCTGAAATATGGAAAATTATCAATTGATATTTTTTTAATTATCTAGAAAATTTTAGATGAATGTATCTGTAAATATTGATGTTTGTTGAAAACCCTAAACTATATATTTAATAATTGGCAATCTAGAGGACAAAATTGACGAGGATGTTATTGAACTAGGTAGTATATTTTGATCGTGAAATTAAGTAACATCCAGTTTCTGTTCAAATTGTGTTATATGCAGTATATCTTGTTACAGGATTAAATTTAATGGAATAATTTCATTTTTCATTCTAGAGGAAATTATTTTCGCATGTCTGTAAAGGGCTTAGGAGTAAAAAGTTTTTGGCAAAACTAGCTAGTCTAAAAATCCTGTACTGATCTAGTTTGAAACTTCTCAAGCTGTTTGAAAAGCAGACTATTTAAGGAGGCTCTAAATAGTTTGATATACCTGATCATTTTCAAAAAAAGAAAAGAAAAAGTGGCCATGCACATGTACTTGTACAAGGAGAGTTTACATCATACCTGCAGCTCTCCTGCAAAAACTAGTAGTTCAGTGCAGTCGTCAAGCATGGATCTTTCTTTTCTTGCAGAAGCCAAAACTTCGGAAGTAAGTGAACTTAGTTGGTCTACCTGTAATTTATGAAATCTAGGCATCACTCAAAAAATCAGTTAAAAACACCTAATTTATAGGTCTTTTTGTTATTACAGAACTATTGCTACATGATCAACAGCCCCAAAGGATGGAAATCCTCACATGCTCATTATTTACCAAGAAATTCCTTATAATTAGCTACCCAAGACAGTAGGTATTGTATTGCTTCGACTCCCTGAGATATAAATATTAAATTCCCATAATATTTGCATATATTTCGTTTCCTATAATAGATTGTATGAATTTTCATGAGAAAATTTATCAAAATGGTCCGTTAACTCTTTATAAATGATCAAAATGATCCCCAATTATTTTAAAGGACAATTTTAATCTCTCAAATCATTAAAAAAAGAATCAAAATATTCACATGGTGAGACTATTTTAGTTCTTTTTAAGAAGTTGAGGGATTAAAATGATCATTTTTTATTTGTCATAAATAGTCAATGGACTATTTCAATCCTTTTCTCATATTTTCATATATGCATTCTCATTTAGAAATAATAAGGGATATGTAAACTGTTTCAATACCAAGAAAGAAAATATTTCATCTTCTGCCCTTTTATTTCTATATTATATTCTTTCTATAAAAATGCTTTCCATATGAACATTTAAGATCTACATATATGTTTATTTAGTACTTTTACATTTGCAAAGGCTGTATCAGATACAAGGTAACAAGCTTGAAAGCTTCATGGGCATAATTCAGAAACAACATTTTTATAGTAATAGAACTTAGAACTATCAATGAAATAATTTCCGCTTTATCTAGCTTGAATAGAGCTGCTGAAGTAGGTTAGTCTAATGCAGGTAAAACGTGGTCTTAACTTTGTCCAAGAATTGATAGTTTAGAAGAATAGATACATAGATTTCTTTGAGGTGAGAAGGCTACTACTGGATGGATGACCTATACCGAATACAAAATAGAGTTGGAGTTATTATTTGACATTTTTATATATACAAATTCTCTTTTCCATCCATTGCTCATCATCCACTTCCATATAACAAATCTCAAAAAAAATTTAAGAGAAAAATAATTCCAAAATAGCATGTTAGATTACACCATGAACAGTGATTTTTGTAGCAAGGGCTATAAGCATCAATCAAAATGAAGAACAACATGCCACAAACTATCTCAAAATAAAAAGAGAAAACGCAACACAGAGGCACCAAAATGCTATGTTATTTGGCATCAGTCAAGTTTTTGGCCATAGGATAAGGGAAGAGATGTGATCCGCAAAAAATCACAAAAGTCATAAATCATAATTGTAGATTAAAAAATGAACACTTATCAGCCTTTTTCAAATCAAGTATAAATTAAGACTTCATTTGGGACAGCTTTTGTACTGCTTTTTAAAATAGCTTTTTTAGTACAAAATTTTCTTTTTCAAAAAAATTTTATACTAAAAATCTACTTTATAAAGCAGTATGAAAGCTATCCCAAATGAAGCTTAAATGTATTCCCATCTTCAAATCCTTGAGACAAACCCTACAGAGAAGTAAGATATTAGGTAAATATTCACCTTAGATGACAAATAACAAATTGAAGAACTTATTGCCTGCATTGCATCCACTGCTGAATTGATGGCATTTTTCAGGGCTTTTATATCCCCCTGAAAATAATGGGAAGTTAATATTAGGCAATATAATTCTTTATGATATTTCTCAAAAAAATCATATCGACAGTTCTTTCAAATATCATCATCCACAATCACTACTGGGTACTAAATGCTTTGTAAATACATTCCTCAAAAATACATCACAATTTATGGATATATTCATACCCTGGCTTCTCCTGTTACAGGAATCCATAATGTGCTCGCCTTTAGAGCTCTAGTTGTTCCAGATAATGAAAAATGATGTTCATTTTCAATAGCGGCCCAGTCTTCAAGGTATGTTATCTAAAACAAGATGATATTTTCTTTAGAACAATATAACATTTCTGGAATTAGAAGATAGTCATTTTGTTAATGAACTGATGCTAGACTAATTATGAGATATGCCAGCATAATTGCAATTTTTTATCTCAATGAAATAATGAGCCATTTTTATTTGGAAATACTTATGCAGATATAGATGTTAAGATTTTCAGCTTCAGTTAGTTTTAAACAATCTTCATTGAATAAGTTTCAGAAGAAAATAAAACAAAAAGCATATATTGCCTCTAAACCCGGCATTCTTTCACTGTATAAGCAATGCGCACATAAAAATATAAAATTCAATTATTTCATGGCAAACACATTAAGAACTTACCTGTTCAGTCAGAAGCATGTTCAGCTTCATATCTTGCTTCATGTGATGCTTATAAATTATTTTCTTAACGAAAGGATCGCATAATTCTGAAGAAACATTCTCCATATCGTAAAGTTTAGTCTGTTTCATGCAATGAAAAAGGAGAAATCATACTGACTTCAGGGTTAGGGTTTATAAAAAAGTACCAAATTACATAAATGGAAATAAATAAAGGATGCTATGCAGTACTTTAATCTGAAAGGAAAGAAGGAAATAGACATCCTATCATCACTTTGAACAACTTTATGTTTAGAATATAATGGTAGTTGTATTCTAGTATAGGAGAAACTTAAAAAGTAGAAAAGAGCCGTTGAATCAACTTTGATTCACAGAAAAGCTAGCATAATCTAAATGATTCCAATGCAACAAAGAAGTTTCTTAATAAGATGAACTGTCTCATAGTATTTATTCTATGCAGATTTAGGTGAAGTTTGACAATATCAATGCAGTAATTTCATGAATAAATCAGCATTTAGAATATATGGTTTTAAGGTTTTACCTCTGCTCTTATTCGTTGCACAGATAAAACATCCTCAGTTAGAGCATTCACAAAGCGCCATTGCAAGTATCTGTTATACAACATACGTAGTTGATGAGCACCTTCGATGCGTTTAGTACCTTGTTTTCCTCTCCTCACTTCAACAGTAGGACATTCTCCACTTTTTGTGCTGTTAGATGTGAAGGAAGGACTACTAATCTGTTTCAGTGTAGGGTGTGGTGCAGATAAAGTCTTGTTCAGAGGGAAAACATGATAAGATCCTGATGTAGGTGACGAACTTCTCCAACTTGCTTTTCTCACCTGCAAAGCCTTTTCAGAAGAGCATAAACGGGGAGAAGACAAACTCATACAAGATTCATGTTTTGACTGCCCATTACAATCAAGAGTTACTCTTCTTTCAACCTTACTTTTCAATTGTTTGTGCCCTTTATCAGAACCATGAGAATCATGAATACTTCCATGTAAAATCCCTCTAGATGGTGTAATCAAAGAGTTGAACTTTGAACTATTAGCAGATATCATTCTACTTCTCAAACCAAGTCCCGGGTCCTGCTCCACTGTTCTTCCATGCAAATCGTCCAAAGGTCTAGAATTCTCAGAGAGATCAGAAGTTCTCCTACTCTGAGAAGGAATCCATTTCCTCTCAGGAATTCTACTCTGAAGAGGAGTAGAATTCAAACCAAATGATGAAGACAGAGTCTTCATTGCAGGCCAAAGTCCATCAGAAGTTCTTACAGCTAACAAATGTGTCACTGAATCATATGTAGGAGTGGAAGGTCTTAAGGATTTGGAAGAGGGTGTCAAAGGTCTGGAACAAACAGATAGAGAATTCGAAGGCCTTATTCTGTCAGCAGACTTAGATCTCCTTGGCAGCTTCAGCTCTTGTTCATTTGATTTGGGATTAAAAGTTGGAGATTGGGATCGTCGAGGAACAACCTGAATGGAAAGAGAAGCTTTTGATGTCTTGTATCCAGACGAAGCTTCTCTTGTCCTAAAATTGCAAACCAAAGGTACGCCATTTCTCTTCTCACACAGTCCTATCTTTGGTCTTTTGGTCTCTTCCAACTGATCTGGTTTCTGTGGAATCCCGGCCCTGGAATGCCTCGCTCTACACCCATCCATTCAAAGACCACAACGAAAGTTAATTTTTGCACAAATAATATCGCAATGCAAGACTCCATTGTAGCTACATAGCATGGATTCCATAGAGAAAAACCAAAATTAAGAGAAAGAGGAGAAGAAAGAAGGAGAAAAGGAGCTGCAAGTTGGCAGAAGCGTTCGTTCAGAAAGGGGAGAGTGCAGAGAAGAGCTTAATGTCATTTTATGATCTGTCTTTACTGATAAAAAGATAAATTTTGCCTGTCTGTCTCATGTCCTCCTCACGAGAATGCCATGGTCGGGTGGGTTCCTTACTCCTTACACTCGTGCTCTGCAGCGAAGATGAATTAAATGGACTGGAGATGAAGGAAAGCGTCAGTCTGTTATGGATAATTGTTATTTATCTTTTTTTTTTAATAAATATTTTGTCAAATACTATATAATCTTCTTAAGGGTTTGTTTGATTGATTTTTTAAGTAAGTTAATTTAAGATAAGTAAGATGATAAGTTAAGCCTCTCTCTCTCTCTTAAAATTTAAAGGTTGATCGCATTAGATAAAGAATTTTATTGCTCATAATAAAAATAGCACTACATCATAATTTTTTTAATGAAGAAAATAAAATATGTTCTAGACTAAGTATTTTGAATTTTATATGAATATTCCTTTATTATAAAATTAATGAATCATTAAACTTGCTAAACTTGCTAATATATTATCCCATATGAATTAGGGGTATAAACTAGTCAAATTGACTCATGAATCATCTCAAACTCGGCTTGAAAAATGACTCTTGAGCTAAATTTGATGAACTAACAAGCCAAGTTGAGCTAACTCTAACTCAATTCTAAGTACAAATTATTTAAACATGTTTAACATTTATATTTATATCTAAAAAAAAAATGTTTAACATTTATATCTCTCATTTTTATATTAAATATTTCTTAATTAGTTGTTTCCAAATTTTTACTCTTTTTTTCAATTTTATTTTAATGATTACTTAAATTATAAATCATTTTCTTTTTTTTCATAATAAATGAGCTCATTCGTAAGCCAGCTCAAACTAGTAGAATAAAACTAGAGCTCATTATTGAATTCAATTAATTAATTAAATCCAAGTTCAAACTAATGGTGATTCAAACCATATATGTATGATTCAATTAATTAATTTAAAATTATATGCTATTTATTAATTAAAACATTGAAAATATATTTTAAATCATACATATATGTCGTATTTCACTATACAAATTAAAATAAATCAATATTTGTTTATTCAAAAATTTTAAACAAATATATTTATCATTGAAAATTATCTACCCAATTTTAAATAAGAGGAAAATGATTAACCACGAGCTAGGAGGGTACTACCATGTGGGAGATCACAATAGGAAGAAAAGAAACAAGATTAAATAAAAAAAACCAATGACTTAGGCTTCATTTTAGATGACTTTCTAATTGTTTCTTAAAGTAGCTTTTTAGTATTAAAATTTTAATATTTAAACTAAAAAACCGTTTTAAGTAGTAAGAAAACCGTCCCAAAGCTTCCTTTTGGATGGCTTTCTTAATGCTTTTTAAGGCAATTTTTTATTATTTTTATATTAAAAATTTATAATAAAAATTTGTTTCAAAAAACAATAAAAAAATAGTCCCAAATGAATCCTTAGAAATCAAGAAAATAAGACATTAATATTTACATAAAAGTGAGCACCATAATATATGGATTATGACTTGTCGATAGAATCTCAAGCCAGCATGAATCAAATCTGATTTGACCGTTAGTCAAGCTCCATGACTTGCATTCGAGCTTGAACATTCAATCCATCTGAATCTTTGAGTGAAATTTCAAACATAAATTGTATTGCTGAAAATAGAAAGCAGATATCTACCCGGAACAAAGCAGAGAATGCCCAGCAAAGGTGAAGAATCAGTGTTCCCATTTGAAACTTGAAGCGCAGAAGCACCTGCGTTTAACATTTCATCAGCTCGGTGGCATCAAATTGAATAGAAAGCAGATGAAAAATAAACCTCCATACGAGTTCAGACCTTAATAACTTGCCATAGTCCGACGAACCATATACACAAAAATTTTAATTTTTTTACTAAAACTTTGTTTCAAGAAGCAGTAAAAAAGCCGTCCTAAACGACGCCAAAACCTCAGCCTCCAGGCACAATCTCTGGCTTCGTTTGGGACCACTTTCTTACTGCTTCTTAAGTACAAAAATTAAAAAATTTATACAAAAAAGCAGCTTTAGGAAGCAGTAACAAAGCCGTCCCAAATGAAGCCTCTGTCTGGCCATCAAGGGAGTCTTCCACAGCCAATGGATCTCCAGCTGCATAAGCAAACACCATTATTGATGATATTATGATACCATAGATTAAAATGATTAGCAAACAATCATCAAATACTCCTCACATCTCCTTCCATTCAGGAATAGCTTTTTAGCTTAATCAATGGAAACAGCAACATCCAACAATCAGCGACCACCTACTTCCTCAAGATCTTCTCCAGTGACTGAATTGCTGTAGAACAACCTATCTCCTCAAATAAAGCAAAAACCAACGCATTCCATGTGACAGCATTCGGCCAAATGCCTTCAGACAACATTTTTAAAAAATAAACCAAAGCATCTTCTAATCTGTGTTGAATTGAAAGGCCAGAGATTATGGTAGTGTATGTAAATACATCAAGAAAACAGTTTCCAGCTGCCATTCCTCCAACAAGCCTGGTGGCATTCAAAATGCTTCCTTCTTTGCAGTATGCAAGGATAATTGCATTGAAAGTTACTGAATCGGGTTGAATTCCCTTTACCTCCATCTTTCCAATAAGTGCTAAGGCTTCTTTGATCATACCAGCGTTGCTCAATCCATTTATTATAGTGTTGTAAGTCACAACATTTAATTCAACTCCACTGTGAAACATTTCATCAAGTAACTGGAAAGTACCCGTAAGATTATTTTCTCTGCAAAAACCATCTAGCAACTCATTGTAGGTCCGGGTGTTAGGTGAACATCCTTGCCTTCTCATCTCATCTAAGATATTCAAAGCCCAAAGTGTTCTTCCACTGTCACATAGACCTTTGATGAATGAGTTAAATGTCACTGTATTCGGTAGGCAATTCTCTGAGATCATGTTCTTGATAAGATTCCAAGCATGATCAAGCATGTTCTTTCTACAAAACATATCAACCATAGATGTGTAGACAACTACATTTGGGTTGAAACCACTTTCTATCATCCTATTCCACATCAAAGAGGCGCCTTCAATGTCTCCTGTTTTTGAGAAACCTTCAATGAGTGTGCCATATGAACTAACATTTGGAGAACATCCATTTTGATCCATCTCATCTAACACATCCATTGCCTTCTTTAGATTTCCATTCAAACAAAGGCCATGAATGAGAATATTGTATGTTATAAGATTAGGAATGTGCCCATCTTGAATTAGTTGATTCCAAATATCAATAGCTTCATGTACTTTACCATTCTCAAAGAAACCTTTCAGCAGTGAAGCAAAAGTATACATATTGGGCGCGCAACATCTCATGAACATCTTGGCTAAAATAGCAAGAGAGAGTCTCAGATTCCCAGTCTTACAGAGTGCATTAACCATTGTGGTATAAGTGATTACATTGGGCCGCAGCGCCGTATCTTCCATGCCAAAAGCCACATGCAAAGCTTCCTTAATTCTTGATTCTTTACACAATCCATTTATCAGAGCATTATACGTTTGGACGGTGGGGTTTATCATTTTAACCAACTTTATTGCCTCCTCCAATCTCCCAGATGAACAAAGATAAGTTACTAATGTAGTGTAACTTACAGAATCTGGTAAATCACCTTTATTCGACATTTCCTCAAGAAGTTTATAAGCAGCATCAAAACGGTTATTCTGGCACAAAGCCTTGATAAGTACATTATATGTGAAAACATTTGGCAGTATTGCATCTTTCTTCATGTTAATGTAGATTGGGCTAATTGCGTTGAACATGTTTTCCTTGAGTAAAGCATCCAAAAGGTGATTGTATATCTTCACTGTAGGCTTGCAACCAAGATCGCCGCTACGGTAGAATGTTTTAAGGGCCTGATCAGCGGACCCGAAACTCGCGTAAGAACTTATGACGCTGATCATGATATCTTCAGTGCAGGCAAGGCCTTCCAGCTTCATCTGCTGAAGAAGGTACTGAATAGCATCCATTTTATTTTCCCTACCAAGCTTCTCAATCATAATTTGGTATGTTCTAGAAGTGTGTTGAAAAAGCCTAGAACCAAACACAGATTTAAAGTACTCAAATGCAACACTAATGCTTGTTTCTTGCTGTAATCTCCGGAGTACCTCAACCTCTCTTAGAGGAGGATATCTTGGATCACTGGCTTGTTGATGCTCAGAAGTTACACTGGTGTTCAAGATCACAGTAATTGCTGGCCTTTGAGCCTTCAACAATAATGAAGGTCCATCTTTCAAATACATGGTTAAGAAAATCCAAAACCATTTACTAATTAACATCATCCATTATGCCCTAAGCAAATTTCAGTTCTGCAAAAGCAAAATTACCATAAACAGCATTAGCATAACCAACTTGTTCAAATTTTCCAGCACAATATTCTCGAGGAATAAGTGGTAAATCCCAAAAACTTACTTTTATTGGAGGAGAAAACCTCAAAAATTTATGGTAAAAAGGACAGACTCACATTAAAAAAATTTAATTTGAAGAATCCTACTATCAATTTAAAAGCAGAGGTGCTTATAGAGAGTGTAAATCAGCCAGAGATCAAAGTTGATAAACCATTTATCAGACAACCGTTCATCCCAAAGTTTAAGCAAATAGATTAGACCAACAATAAATCATTTAAATAAGTTTTACCTAAACAATTTGAAATTATACCCCATAGTCACACGTCCTAGAAAATCTTCTCAATAAGAGATTTCACAAAATCATCCATCATTCCCCCTGAAATAAGAATCAATAAACTCAAAAAACAAAGCATACCAAGGAGCGCACAGTCCAAATGGTTGAAAAAAAAGAGCCACTCGACGAAAACTTCACCATGGATATGCTAACATAAGAGCTACAAACTGCATACATTGTTTAGCCCAACAAAACCATGGCTCTAATACTGCTTTAGGAAATGTGAAACGCCAGGAGACCAAAGTAGGCAAAGTTGCATAATGGAAAAATATCCATCATGCAAAAAAATTTATTAGGGAAATTTACATACATACCACTTTATTTCATGCTATTTACATATCTAACACCCAAAACATTAATATTACATACCTACCACCCATATACAACTTTAATATCAAATATATCATTCCTATAATTTATTTCTATCATTCATACAAGCTTATAAACTTTAATATTTCATTTCATGCACCGAAATTATTCTATGGGTGAGAGTGAACAAATGATAACCAATGATATATTTACACAAAGACACTTTACACCACATAGAGTTATAAGGGCATCTCCAACAGAACATCATCCGCCCGTCTACAGTTCCAGCGAACCTCCACCTGAACGACAAATGAAAACTCATTTTTGAGTTTTATCTCATCTGTAAACAGTGCAACGTCAATATTGATTGGAGATAAGAAAGGATATACACAGAATATTCTTTTTTGATGTTAGAAATATAGTTCGATCAGAGATGAATTACTGTTTGATATAACTATTATTATAATTTAGAGTTAGAAATGCAGTTTTCTATTGGAGATGCCCTTAGACTGAAATAATTGTTGTCAATCCTGCCAAACGTAAAAAAAGGAATCACCAATTCTAATGGTAAGTTAGATTCCGTCATTTTCTTGCTTTAATTCTTTAAAACCCAAATTTATTAAATACACGAGTTCGGTAGATTTAGAGATTTACAAAAACGAAGAGCGGGAGAAAGCACAGAAAAATGTTGGTGAAGAAAACCTGCTCTTTCGCCCGCTTAAGCTCGACGGGCAGCCAAGGCAAACTCGGAGAGAACAAAGGAAGAGAGACCTAATGAGCAGTGCACTTACTATGCCACTTCAGGTAAAACTAAAGCAGCAAAGAAAAAATGGCGATGCGGAAAAGCAAACCCTTGACACGCCTAAGGCTATGAAGAGCATAGATGACCAAAGACAAATTACAGTAGGTATACAATCAATCACAGAGAATAAATATGAATATAATAATTCATAATTCATTAGCATATAAATATATAATAAGTATGATTTAAGTAACCTAAAAAGAAGTAATTATTATTTTTAATTAGAATTTATATTTCAATAGTTTAATAATGTACTAATTGATAATTAGTTGGGATATTATAGATAATTAGTATGATTAAATATGATTTAATTAGTTTTATTGTAATTCTACTACCTGTGTTCACAATTGGCCACTACAATTTACAATGCATCAAATCTCATCATTTCTAAATAATAATTTTTCTCACTATCCTACTGAAATGACCATTCAGCATAATTTTACTTGCAACATCAAGCCTTTGTCCACTATGTGGGATCAGCTACATGATTCATTTTTCTCCATTATGTCATGTTAAAAGTCAAATTCTAGTTTAAATCTAATAAAGAAAGATTATTTTTAATATTTTCTAACCAAATCCTTTTAATCTTTCTTAATATAAGTCAAATCTAATACCTCTACTTTCCTAACCGAGTCATCAGAAGGCTGTCGTTTTATGCGACCAAACCATCTAAGGCGACTCAATCTAATCTTATCTACCACTAGAGCTACTCCAACCTTTTCACGTATGCTCATTTTGTATTCTATCTCTAAGGGTAAATCCACTCATCCAACTGAGCATCCTCATATCTACAACACTTAACTTAGTATTCTACTTCTCTTTTAATGGCCAACATTCTGCATAATTTTACTTCATGTGCTCAGGATCTTTAAAATCTAAGATTTTTCTCTTCTTCTTCTAGTAAATACAAATCCTAAATTAGAATGAATAAACAAAAACCATTAACAACAGATAATTTTTAGAGGCACCAATGCACATATAAGGACGAATTCAGCATTGCATATACTATCCACCATATAGCATCCACATAATCTAAAAATTATGTAGAATCAGGAGGCCGGCTCTAAATCAAGCCATGCTGACGAATTTCCGGTTTACTGAAAATTACTAATTCTCTTACCTTACACAAAGTCATATATAACTTCAAATAAATAAGGAAACAATCAGCTTGAAAAAAAAAATCAAGTAATTCCATGCTCAAAGCATCATTGCGAACAAAATAATATTAACAATCAAGACTAGCTTTTTTACCTCCGCCTCAGCACACTGGAGGACGAAGAACGTTAAGGAGGTGGAAATCGGCGGCCTAACCACCTCCTGCACAACAGACTACAACCCAAAAGAGATGGGAATAGTCGGGTGGAGGGAGGGAGGAGAGAAAAGAGAAGACGAAAAGCGACGGGCGTAGGGCAACAGGTTCATGTCTTCTCTTACTCAAACCGACAGCAACTCTGGTCTCTCTCCCTCGCTAGCTTGCACGGGAAAATATAGGGAAGAGCAGAATAGGCGCAGAGGAGACGGCAATAGGTAAAATTGAAGAATCGGCAGCACCGGCGAGTGGCAAATCGCAGCACGAACGTTCTAACGCAGCCTGTCACAAGAATGCCACAGAGAGCTGATCCCTAAGGATCCAGTCGAGCTCCAACGGGCCGACCTAAAAATTCTTTATTTTGATTTTTGCTCGTCATAATATTCTGGGCATGAGCTACATCAAATAAAATTTAGTGGTATTATTGAAATATTTTAAATTGTTATTGTTCATAGGTTGATAAGTTCAAGCTGTTTTTCATGAATGCCAAATTTGCCTTTTTTTACTATTTTTCAAAAATGGTATCATTCTTACAATCAATCTATTTGAATGTAAAATCATAGTAAATTTATCACAACAACATCAAGCCTTTATCTCATTAGGTGGGATTGGCTACATGAATTTTTTTTCTCCATTGTGTTTTGTCAAGAGTCAAATTCTCATTTAAATCTAATAAAGAAAGTTTATTTCTAATATTTTCTAACGATATTTTCTTAGGTCTACCTCTACCTTTTTTAGTCAAATATAGTACATTTACTCTCCTAACTGGGTCATCGGAAGGCTTCCATTTTGTGCGAACAAACCATCTAAGATGTCTCTCTCTAATCTTACATTTCATTGGAGCTACTTCAACCTTTCATGTATATTCTCGCTTCATATCTTATCTCTAAGAGTAAAACCACTCACCCACCCAAACATCCTCATTTCTACAATACTTAAATTAATATTATGTTTCTCGTTTAATGGTCAACATTCTATATCATAAAGCATTGCAAGTCTTACCACTATCTTATAGAATTTTTCTTTAAGTTTGAGAGAATCTTTTCTATCACACAACAAGCCCAATGCTTTCCTCCACTTCAACCATCCAACTTAAATTTTATGAATAATATCCTCATTTATTTCACAATTACTCTGGACAATAGACCCAAGATATCTAAAACATGTACTCTTATTAAGGACTTGATTGCCCAAAGTCACAATCCGCTCACTAGATTTATTATTACTAAAATTACACTCAATATATTCAATTTTATATCTACTCAAACGAAAACCTTTGGACTCTAAGATCGACCTTCATAATTCAAATTCACCTTCAACTCTCTCTAATTTTATCAACAAGAAAACCATCATCATCTAAAAGCATACACCTACATACATCCTCTTGCAAATGCCCAGGAAATTTATCATTCAATTAAAAAAAATCACCAAAAATTACAGCTTTAAGTTATAGTAATTATAAAAAAATTATTATCCAAATTCTAAAAAAACATATATACATCAAATAAAAGTAGCATCCAAAATTTTTTAAGGAGTCTAAGTTATACCATAATTTTCAATCCAATCGTTTGATTTCATGATATTAAATGAATCAATTTAACAACACAATCAAATCCAAAGAAGCAAAACAAACTAAATAAACCAACATGCATTTCATCCAAAAAAAAAAACAGAAATCTATTCATAAATCAATCTCAAAACTATTTACAAAATCATAAATTAAAAAGGTCAGTAACCAAATCACAACATACTTGTAAATAAATCTACTATCTACCAAAGTTAGATTGCTACCAAATTTGAAAACCAAATAAAAAATCTAATTTTCTGAGCTTACATACTTTCAAAATCTACATATCAATTGTTTTTTTTTTTTGTTCAAAACATTAGAATTTGAGCCATCTCTTCTCTTTCTCCTTGCTCATGACAGCATTGGAGGCCGACACATGAACAGCCTCAGCATCCGCGAGGGCCTTGCGAGTCTCGATCAACTTCCTTGAAGCAGCCTCAAAAACCGCCTTGTCCCTTCGATTACGGCTTACCATTTCTTCGAGCTTCTCCACTCGAATTCTCAAGTCCTTCATTTCTTCCTCATATGCAACTAATGATCGTCTGTCCTCAGCCTTCGCCTTACCTTCTGAATCTCCAGTCCTTCTCTTCATTATACTCCCTTTGATGCTGGAAGAAGCATTTGGTCCAGTGAGCTGATTATTAATAAAGCTAAAAACATCCGTATAAAATGAGGGCAAAAAATTTTTTTGAGAAGGGGCAAAATACCTAAAATATCCAAAATATTCCAAACTATACCCTTTAAAATTAAAAAAAAAAAAATTTTGAGGGGGGGCATTTGCCCCCCCTCAAGTGAATGGGGATCCGCCCATGGAGCTACTTCAACCTTTCATGTATATTCTCGCTTCATATCTTATCTCTAAGAGTAAAACCACTCACCCACCCAAATATCATCATTTTTGCAACACTTAAATTAATATTATGTTTCTCGTTTAATGGTCAACATTCTATATCATAAAGCATTGCAAGTCTTACCACCATCTTATAGAATTTTTCTTTAAGTTTGAGAGAATCTTTTCTATCACACAACAAGTTCAATGCTTTCCTCCACTTCAGCCATCCAACTTAAATTTTATGAATAATATCCTCATTTATTTCACAATTACTTTGAACAATAGACCAGCGATATCTAAAACATGTACTCTTATTAATGACTTGATCGCCAAAAGTCACAATCCGCTCACTAGATCTATTACTACGAAAATTACACTCAATATATTCGATTTTAGACTACTCAAACGAAAATCTTTAGACTCTAAGGTCGATCTTTATAATTCAAATTCATCTTCAACTCTCTCTCTCTAATTTTATCAACAAGAAAACCATCATCAGCAAAAAGCACACAGCCATACACCTAGATACATCCTCAGCAAAAATTACAGCTTTAAGTTATATAGCAATTATAAAAAAATTATCCAAATTCTAAAAAAAACATATATATACATCAAATAAAAGTAACATCCAAAAATTTGTAAGGAGTCTAAGTTATACCACAATTTTCAATCCAACCGTTTGATTTCATGAAATTAAATCAATCAATTTAACAGCACAATCAAATCCAAAGAAGCGAAACAAACTAAATAAATCAACATTCATTTCATCAAAAAAAAAACCAGAAATCTATTCATAAATCAATCTCAAAACCATTTACAAAACCATAAATTAAAAAACTCAGTGACCAAATCAACATACTAGTAAATAAATTTACTAACTACCAAAGTTAAATTGCTACCAACTTTGAAAACCAAATAAAAATATAATTTTATGAGCTTACATACTTTTAAAATGTACATATCAATTGCTTTTTTTTTTTTTTGGTTCAAAACATTAGAATTTGAGCCATCTCTTCTCTTTCTCCTTGCTCATGACAGCATTGGAGGCCGACACATGAACAGCCTCAGCATCCGCGAGGGCCTTGCGAGTCTCGATCAACTTCCTTGAAGCAGCCTCAAAAACCGCCTTGTCCCTTCGATTACGGCTTACCATTTCTTCGAGCTTCTCCACTCGAATTCTCAAGTCCTTCATTTCTTCCTCATATGCAACTAATGATCGTCTGTCCTCAGCCTTCGCCTTACCTTCTGAATCTCCAGTCCTTCTCTTCATTATACTCCCTTTGATGCTGGAAGAAGCATTTGGTCCAGTGAGCTGATTATTAATAAAGCTAAAAACATCCGTTTCCTCTTCATCATCAGCTTTAGCAGCTCGTTCTGCTTCTGCAATCTTCTTTTCCTGCTTTCTTCTACCTCCTCTACTCCGTTTTTTACCTCTGCCAACGCTATTTTCTTCATTGTCATTTGACACGAGTGCGTGATCAAGTGATCGTCTCGAAGGAAGAACTCTAACAGATATTGGATCTAAAGTTCCTTGGCCTGAGGCACCTAATCCCATCCCTTTACGGTATCCCATATTGGCCATCATTTTTGATGCAATGCCCCTCGTATGAAGCTCCCATTTCGCAAATACTGCAGTTTCAGTTTGAATGCCTCTTAGAGATGCAGATGCTTCCAAAAAACCTAGCCCTTGATTCTCAATGTCCTCTTCATCATTCAAGCTGGAGCTCTCAGTGCTGAGACTGTCTTGTTCATCACTATCATCATCAAAGCTTGCATCGGCATACTCAGAAATGGCGATCGCTTCGCTACCGAGCTTGGCTGAGCTTCCATCATCCTGAAAAATAACCTGACCCAAGCATAGCTTTTCGTCCCAGGACTCGAGCTCAGATCTCCTCCAAATGCCAGAATGGCCTTCAGAGATAGCCCATATGTTAGAACCAACCAATGACTCGCACCATGCAGTGGGGATATAAGGCTTCAGCGATGAAAATGGAATGCTAGATCCTGCAAAATAGACATCACTTATTCGTTTTCAATGAAAAATATCACTCTTGCTTTCATGTACAGAACCAATCAATAAAACAGAAGAAAACATGCCAATTAGTCTAGAGATGCTCATCCCTCACAATTCCCATTACAACTGCTAAGCAATCTATTTTAATTTGCATTGCCACTATCAACATTTTATATTACACTCTATAAAGCGTAATGTATATAGGTCTAACATGATTGAAACAGAATATGGATCATAAACAGGGTAGTCTTCTTTAGGATGAGCATAGATAACAATAACATACCATGAGACATGCGGCAGTTACTACCAAAACGACATCGTTGCTGTAGAAAGAACTTGCACATCTGCACTTTGGGCAGGTATGTGTTAGAAAACATATTCTACCTGAAACGAGTATTCAATGGTTCTAAGCAAGATACGGAAAGCAAGAAACAATGAGAGTTTTACAAATTTTATTTTTTGTGGATCAAACAACACATACAGCTACCACTGAGATGAGCAAACTCAGGCTTCGTTTGGAACGGCTTTCTTACTGCTTCTTAAAGCGGCTTTCTAATACAAAAATTTTAATATTTAACTAAAAAATTGCTTTGAGAAGCAATAAGAAAGCTGCCCCAAACTAAGCCTCCATCTGAAACATAGAGTGCAGTGTAGATGTTAACAAGCTTAAGTACTTGTGTATAGAATGGAAACGGGAAGTAACTTTGGCATAGATATTACAAATTATAGTGTCAATAACATATCAACACTAGCTGTAAAGCATGTAAAAGGCTTGAACTAGACATACCCAGGTCAGCCGAACAGTAAAAAAAATAAAAGGGCCCTACTCTCCCTCATGAATTCTGATTCATTAAAAATATTTATGAATGATGTTATGACATTATATATAATAAACACTAAACACCTGCTTAAAATAAGCCTTCAAATTGAACTGAGAATCTATTCTAGCTAGTAGATAATTAATTAAGTGAAACACAATATGAATTTGTTCAGGAAGGAATGAAAAGTGTTGCCAAAAAGAGCCTTTTTTGCTTAATATCATTGCTTTAGTAGCAAGGAAAAGAAAATTAGTAATTAATTCTACAGTGGAGAGAATAATATATGTCAAACATACAGTAGAAAACTGATACATGTCTATTAAGGAAAACCATAAATAATTTTCAAGACTTCAAAGGAGACAAGAAGCAAAAGCAGAACGGGCCAATCTCTAATAGATGCCAGAGTAAGATGCAACCTGCATTGACGAAAATATTTAGATGGGCTTTGGTTTTAGATAGTGATTAAGTCAATTTTTGGAGTCGAATCTTATCAAACCGTAGAGGTTTTTATTTCTTAACAGCTTTCCCTGAATAAAATTTGCTCATTCTGTATAATTTTTACTGCATTATTGCAAAGATGATGAAACTAATATCAAATTGAATCCGACTGCTAATGATAATACCAAATGTATACTAAAAGTTTACACCATTAATCAAGGACCAATTCATAAGCCAACAGCCGCATGCAATTTATAGAAGAAGATCTCAAACTTAAGTGGAAGAATGCAAAAATTCTAATTGAATCGCTCAAAGTTAAGCAATTCTTCTCAGACAAAAATGGATTTCATAGGATGCAGTAAGGCAACATTAAAGGCATGAAATTGGCTGATAAAGATGATATCAAATGCATAGAAAACATATTGAAACTCTAAAAGCATTGGCACTGTAAAAATCTGAATTAAAAAAGTGCACACGTAAACATACACGTATCAGAAATTTTAAAATTGATCATTAAAAAAATAATATTGTTAGCAGGCACACACTCACACAGGCGAAAGGGAGAGAGAGGGCTGTGTGTGCAAACGCTGTTAAGTTTTTGCTTCAAAATCCAAAAGAATACTTCCTTGATACGTATATGCTTTTCAAAATTTGCATATGTACTTAAACCACACAAAAATAGAAGAAACATATCTACCTTAAATCACTGTCAGTTCTATGAGTTTAAGAAATTCTGAAAATAAAACTGCAAACAATATATTAAGCAAATTCTATTTTAAAAGCAAAGTACCCATTTAAGATATATTTTAATGTTAAAACAAATAAATAAACAGGAGCAAGTACCCACCAACATGTTTTCAGAAGTAGGAGTGAGAAATGAAATCCTGGCAGCATTAACACCATCAAGTCCCACTATACGGCCATTATACCAACGTCCATCACTATGTCGGAATCTACACCTTGATCCAGTAGAATAAGTTTCTGATTCATAAGTTTCCAGCAAACTATGTTTCGAATCCAGTGGTTCCACCTTTACATCCTCCTCTAAGGATTTGAATTCTTGGCCAAAGATTGTATCAGCTTCCTTTAGCAACCTAGAACGTTTTAGGTGAAGTAGTCCGTCTTCAGCATCCTTGATTGCCATCTGAAGTTCTTCAAGAACCTTCAATAGCAATGCCATAACTGGTTATGGTGCTCAATACTACACCAAGGAAATTCATAATAATTGATTAAGCATATAACTTTTTTTTAAACAAAGCATTCTAATTTATATCTTAAAAACTTAAGCATAGATTATTTTTTTTCACAGGAAATGAACCCCCTTAGGACAAAAGGAACAATAACATTGGACTACACACCCAGTAGTATGACCTTAAATTTATAACAGTACAAATGTTAATTTTCGGCAATATTATTACTATGCATACATCTCATGACCGAATTTTAAGTGCCTAACGTGACTGTAGAAAAGATAAAACAAGTTAACAAGAGATCAAATTTTAATATTTTCAATCAGCAAAATTCACAGATAGAATAGTGCTATACTAGTGAAGTAGAGCTACTATTAAGCATACAACAACAACAACATCATCAAGCATTTATCCCACTATGTGGGGTCGGCTAAATGAATCCTTTTTCTCCATTGTATCCTATTAAAGGTCAAATTCTCGTTTAAATCTAATAAAGAAAGGTCAAACCAAGTCTTTTTAGAGAATAGTAGTAGAGCTACTATTAAGCATAAACATATAAAAAAATAGGATAGGGATTCTCTGATACGTTGAACTAGGCAGAGTAGTTATAACCAAGTCCTATGTCATTGGCTTTTACAATAACAGTTTCTATTAATTAACAAACTTCAACAGAAAAAAAATGGAGGGGCGGTCCACTAATTGAACAATTAGTTCATAAGCATAGATTCATTTTTTAAATAATGATGAATAAATTAGCATTTTTGCTTGAAAAAGAATCCATATCAATTGCCGGAGTTTATGACAAAATACCTAGTTCATCTTCCTTGAACACCGGCAGCCTAGCTCACAACAATTATTTGATAAAGTAGGTAGTTACAAGCAAACTCGTCTGCATCATTATCTAACCAGTGTTTGTACCCAGCTCCAGTGTTTCAAATAGAGAATGTATGATTATGTTTCATTTCAATTTCATTTTGCTTTGTTCCTTAGACCAATTAATCTTTATTTTATGGTTTTCATGTAATTAATTCATGTAATAATAATTCCTCGTTATAAACAAATGGGGTACTATTTGGTTTTCCGCTGATGAACTTTTTAAGAAATCCAATCTTACAAGCACACCTCTAAACTTGGACAGTAGTAACTTGTAAACCTCATGCTTTATCATCTCTCCGTATATCCATACATCAATATAACTGGCTAAGGAGACAAACATCCGTTGCACATGTAGCAAAATGCTCCAGCTTGGTAAGGATGAATCAAGGTTATTGGATTTTTACATCAACTCCTTAAATATTTGCCCGTATCTTTCAGCTAGTGTTGCTCGTTTCTCTTTTGAAAAAATCATCAACTACGTCATTCCTATAAATATGAGAACTTAAAACTCCACAACAACCACCACCACAACCACAAAAACCAACATAAGCATCTCCACCGCAACCAAAACCTCTTCCCTCTCCTAAACATCCATCACATGACAGTCATCCCATCCTAAACCCGAAACGAATTCCTTAACCCACATGTACCCAAGTTTTCTACATCATTATCACCGGTCATCTGCTGCATACCAAGCCACTCCATGCTTGGTAAGATATCACGCATGATCTGTTTCTAACAATAAGATAAATCATAGCTTATTTTTCTCACTTAACATGTTATTCTCTAGCCATCTTTCAAAATCCATAATCTCCTCCATATCACCACTCTTCATATTTGGCTACCATCATTGGAAAAAATCAAATACAACTATACCCCTTTGTAGTTTTCCTAAAGTGTGCACACTTCAATCCCTTCAATAAATACCTCAAAACCTTTCTTTCTCTATTATTCTAGTAAAGTACCCTAATTCTTCTTCTAGAACACGAAATGTTGCCGCCTAACTTCTTCAAACTAATTGAACCCCCTTCTCTAAGCATGGAACTCCTTTCCAAGCCACCAGCACAACCTCGATGATGTAACAAGCGTCTTGGCAAAGGAGACCATAGAGTTCACAAGAACCTTGATGGAGTGTGGATATATTCATGGTCATGGAATTGTCATCCAGATGGACCAGAACCGTAATAGCATATAGGTTCAACTTTGTATTGCTTCAAGCTTATTAGCTTAATATTGATTATGAACCGCTTGTATGTTATAGGGCTCGTCTTTAAATAAAGATATAGGCATAAAAGTTAAAGATTATTGTGGCTAGTTCCTCTCTTCTCTGCAAATGTAATGATTTTTGGGTAAGTTTAATGCAATTTTATTGACCTTCTAGATGTCTTTTAGCAACGAAAAAAACTTGAAACTAAAAGTTGCTAGGAGTTCTACCATCTAAACTAAATCAATAAATTCTACAATATGTAAATCTCCAATTGTTGTGTACTTCATGTTGAATCTGAATTTGACAAATACATCATCATTCTGGAAAATCTTTAATTAAGATAAAAGTAGAGCTAAAACTACCAAAAAAATTACCATCTTACAAGGATTTAATTTTCTTGGTTTAAACTTTGAAGGTTTCCCATGGTGCATGTTCTCCTGGTTAATTACCTCTCTCATGGAGGTAAGCATTTTTTATCAATGCCAACGACATAAACTCTCTCATAGAATAGCCACTATAATAGTTCTTTAGTGCAAAAGAATAGATGATCCACTCTTTGTGCTTATAGGGGTTTGGTTTAGGAATTGATGACTAGCCCAAATAAGATCTCGTGATTCCACTGCCCAAGCAATCGTGAACCTAATCTATTTAATTAGCAAAAACAATTGACCCAACTTGACTTAAAGATTCTTGTTGGCAGCCATGAGTTGCTTCATCTTAGAGGACTTCATAAATTGGGGTTGCAAGATGACTAAATGGCCAATTTTAAATTGACTTGCGTCAAGAAAGGGCTTTGGCCCCTAATGGAAGCATAAAATAGAACCAAAAGCTTGAATATCTTCCATTGGGGAATATAAAGAATTCGATCAAAACCATAATATAATATATCAAAACTTATCCAAGCTAGCCACCAAGTTAAGAAGGCATATCACATCCTTGTTGGCATAAAATTTCAAATTGGCCTTCTCTGAGCACGCACCTACACCAAAATATCTCCTCATTCATCTCACCATTTTTAGTGCTTATCTACCCTTGATCTATTGTACTATTCATAAACTCTTGATTTTTTTTTAAATCATGTAATTTTTTATTTTTATCATGCTTATCTACATGGAAAGGTTAATGAAACAATCTAAAACATAATAATTCATGTTCCAATGTTGTTAAATCTACTTTTTTTAGAATCCAAAGGCTTAAATGAATATAAACTGGAAAGGGAATGCATCCCCATTCATAATATCTTGATTTGCTATTTTAGGCTAGTACCTATTTACAATTAAATATAATTCAACATCCATCCGTAGCAATTTCCAAAATATTTCAATACAATATATCAATAAAATAAGAAAGAGTGTTGCTATGTAAAATGCCATTTAAAAGAAGCTTAATAAAATTTTAGAGAGATAGTTTCTTTTTGTTATTTATCATACTATAAAGTAATCAAGAATCCATTAACATGATTTTGGCCAGGATAATCAAAATTCTCTTAAGGAATAGAAGGAACCATACAATTTCAATTTCAATTACTTTGTCAATGAATATGATTCGATACTTTTTTGAAAAGCTAAGAACTTCCTATAGTTTATCAAACGTAATATAATATACTAGTAACCAAGAAGCAATTGTGATATTAAAAAGTAGTTTGATGCGACTTTCCATCCACCATGTGCAGCAGGACAAGAGAGCAATAGACTACATATGATCCAAGCTAGAAGCCATAAATCCATTACCTAAAAATAAAGGGAATGAAGCATACAAAAGTTATCCTCATTAAATGGAAATGGTTCTCATCAAATATGTGAAGTTTAAAAATAAATGATTTTCAGGTTAACGTGAAGAATCTTACACATCGGTTGGTGCAAAAGATCTTTAAAGGCGGGAAACAAAAAGACCTAAAACCTAAAATGCAACAAGATTTACAACACCCCAAAGAAAATCAAGGTACTCGACAGTATCTATTTCCCAGCTGTCCAGCAACTCAGAGCCTGATAATGCGTGGAAAGAAAACGTACGATGTGACGAACACCAAACTAAGTAAACAAATAACTACATAAAACCTACTGGCAACACCACGCACTTTACCCTCCTGAATCGATAAGTTTTAGATGCTCCTTGTTCCAAACGGAAGCAAACATACAGCAAAAGATATTGATAATAAACCCTAGTCGAAGGTTTTTTTTTACCGCGATAAGCTCTGGATTGGCGGGGTCAGAAGCAAGAGCCTCTTTGACTGTAAACAAAGATTCCCTTTGCTCTTCCAAATGCAGCTCCAGCTGCCGTTCCACAGCTATCTCCTCATCTCCAGCGCTGTGGTCCGCCATGTACGATGAGGTACAGAACGCCAGCGATATCAAATCTCTCGCGAGATTAGGGCATCTCCAACCGAACGCTAAACGACTGTATGGAGTCGTTCCCTCCCTCCAACCGAACTCCAAAATTTTCGCCATTTAATCCCAGGTGAACAGTGCGACGTCGTCGCACTGTTCACTCACTGCCATTTTTTCTCTCAACCCGAAAAACGCGCGAAAGGGAGAGCGATCGTTACCTTCTCAAAAACACCTAAAACATTGTACGAAGATTCAGTACACAAGCAGATAAGAGAGAGGGTGTGGCGTTTATAAGAGACACCAAATTTTTTACGTGGAAACCCTTGAAAAGGGGAAAAATCACGGGATCAGACCCAGTTTGAATGAATCCACTAACATTTGCAGTCGAATACAAATGAGGCCCTTTCTTAGGAGAAGGCCTTGGCTTGATGTCACAAATGTACATCATATAAAACGCATTACATGGTGGGAGTTACAATAATCAACATAAATATGTTTGTTTTCTTTGAAGGGTCATAGTAGGCACGAGACAGGGGTCTGAAAAGACCGTAGTTGGCAGGAGATTAGGGTCAGAAAGACCGTTGTTTGACGATGTAGGTCGAAAGGACCGTAGTATATAGAAGACTGAGGTAAGAAAGAATGTTGTCTAACGATGTAACTCGGAAAGACCACAGTAGTCGACGGAGGTCGGAAGGATCATAGTCGATAAGAGACAGGGGTCAGAAAGACCATAGTTGGCTGGAGATCAGGGTTAGAAAGACCGTTGTAGTAGGGCAGTACTCCGGTAGAAATTTTGGCATCAGATGGTGCCCCGGAAGAAGTCCGGGCCTCAGGTGGTGGACCGGCAAAAGTCCAAGCCTCAGGTGGTGGTCCGGCAGAAGTCCGGACCTCAGGTGGTGGTCCGGCAGAAGTTTGGACCTCAGGTGGTGGTCTGGCAGAAGTCGGGGCCTCAGGTGGTGGTATGGCAGAAGTCGGTGACTTAGGTGGTGGTCTAGCAGAAGTCAGGGCCTCAAGTGGTGGCCCAACGGAAGTGAGGGCCTCAAGTGGTGGTCCAGCGTATGTGAGGGCCTCAAGTGGTGGTATGACAGATGTGAGGACCTAAAGTGGTGGTCCGGCTGAGGTGAGGGCCTCAAGTGGTGGTCCGGCAGAGCAACGACGTCAGGCGGTGGTCCAGCAGAACTCAGGAGGTGGTCGAGGAGGAGCAAGGAGGCAAGAGCGATCTCCAATCTCTCTTTTGAATCATTTGGCTTTGGGTCCCCTTTCAAGAGAAAAGTGGTTCTATTTATAGATTTTTGGAGTGGCATGACCCATAAATAGGTGAGAGATCAAGGGCAAATGGGGAGTGGTTAGATGGACAGCCGATGTTGAATCTCTTGATCGTGGACCGTTTGATGGACATTTGAATGTCTTAATGATGTCAGAATTCTACGATCTTAGGCTTGTTGGATTTGTCTCGTCAAGCCCTCTATTCAACTATAAGTATGTCACGTTTGAAATCCGTTGGTAATCCAATTTGTGGTTTGAATCTTCCAATAGTGCTTCGGGTCCTCGATTTGGACCCATTTGGGTTCGGATTGAGTCAATTTTGGTGTCATTGGGTTTGTATTTCTGAGACGCTTTGTTCTACTATAAGTTTGTTAAAATCAGAGTTGAGATAACCCCATATTTAATTTTGAAGTTTTCAACTTGATTTTTCTTTGAGATTTGTACCCGATCAAGATAATTTTTTGATGATATATCATATATAAATATTACAAAGTACGTATTTAAGACTGCCTAAAATTAATTTATAGATTGTTTGGCTAGAAGTGTTTCAGGCTATAATATACATAACAATAGAGTGAGGATTGTTTATCTTAGCATTGCACAAATATCTAACACACAAACTGAGAATTCAAAAACACTAGGGTTTTTATGTAGAAAACCCAGAAAAAGAGAAATACCACGAGTCACTCCCAGTCGAAATGATTCAACTATTATTTGAATAGGTTACAAAGATTGATCCATCTCGAAACTTGAGGACGGTGAAATTACAACAGTTTGGTGAGTTGGGCAAAAATCCATCGTCAATTGACAGTCATGTGGAAGTCCGGCATACGTCGGCTACATGGCAGAAGTTCGGCATAAGTCGGCTATATGGCAAAAGTCCGACGATGGTCGGAGACCGGACGAAAGTTCGGCGTTGGTGGCAAGAGAGATATCAGATTTATCTTCCTTCTTTCTTTTCTTTTTTTATTCTCCCTTTTGTGAAAAATAAAGGGTTTTATAGTTTTTTTGGTTTGTCATAGCTAGTAAATAGGGAAAAAATCAATGGCATGTTAGGAGTGTTTTAGATGGACGGTTGATATCGACACCCTTAATCATATATCATTAAGCATTTAAATGACTTAATGATGTCAAAATTTAATGATCTTAGGCTTGTTGGATTCTACTTGTCGAGCCGCTCGATTTAACTATAGACATGCAATATTTGGATATCATTTGATTATATAATTTATGCTTTGAAGCTTCCAAATGTGCTTCGGGCTCTTGATTTGGACCCATTTGGGCTCGGATTAGATTGAATTTATGTTGTTGAGTTCGTCTTTTTGAGAGGTTCAATTCGACTATAAGTTTGCTAAAATCAGAGTTAGAATGGTTCCAAAATTAATTTTGAAAGTTTTCAATTCAACTTTTGCATCGAGATTCATGCCCTATCAAGTACTTTTTTGGCATATCAAGAAGTATTTTAAGCATAGAGTAAAAGAAATATTATGTTTTTGAAATTTTAATGTTTGGTTAGATTAAAAATATATCCAAATTAATTTATTGATGATTTTTGAATTTATGTTTTTGTTCATTTTTGTGTATTCCAAAGTTTTCCAAATCGAGTGGTTTTTCTCGACCTCTACTATCCACAATCTATCACCACCCATCACATCTCAATAATATAACTACATGATATGCTTCATAACAAGCAAAAAAAATTGTATTTGAATAGCATCGAAGTAAATAACATATGAATTTCTAAAATGCATATATTTTATTTTACATTGTATTTAAAATACTCATGAATTTCATATCCCTCCAACCAAACAACCGCATAATTAAAATTTTTTGTTAGTGGACTTGAGTTTACACACCATCATAGAGCGAACAAAGGAAAACATCCAATTTAGGAGGATGTAAGAGAGATAGTAGCAATAGTGAGTGAAATAAAAATGAATATTATGACTACCAAATGAAATAGTTTAATTATAATATCCTCACAAGCCACACACAAAAATATATATTATTTTTTAGTTATAAGTGATTTAATCATTTGTTTTTTGAAGGTGTGTGGGTCCATAAATAATATAATATAATTGAGATTCAACTTCTATACAATATGCAAAGTTTCATACTCTAATGTTGCACAACAAACAATGCAAGTTTTAAGCACTATGACATCTCATTTTTCACTCTCTAAATAGAACCATATATCAAGCAAGATGATATGAAATTTGAAACCATCAGCAAAATATCATCTATGAGTTTTAACTATCCATGAAGGCCCTCAACTAATTGTGTTATATGGACTACTTCAAATGGTATATTTTCCTTAGTAATACTATTTTTAAGATATAATATGCTAAAAGTAAATGATTTACAACTTATCAACATTTATCAAACTTTTTGACATGCTTCTGAAATTAACCACTAAGCAAATTATTTTCTTCTTATACTATCAAGTTATGTGCCAGTAATCATTGGGGCTTCTCCTAACTTAACTATGTCAAATCTCTTATATGATATAAATAAATTATGGTGTTAAATCATTTGAGTAGAGAAAATATATGTGAAAGTATATGTTTACCTAAAAAAAGATTTATTTTAGTGTAATTCATGAGCACGTAAAAAGTTCACAGCTTCTATTTATTATCATTTAAATATTGTTGCAAACCCAGTTTACTTAAAGGCCTTCCTAGATTATTAAAAATTGTAAGCCCTGTGATTCAAGTTGTTTCTCATCTTCATTTTATAAATTATAATTCATTTTTGTTGGAACAGTTGACATGAAGTAAATTGAACAATATATTGATATATGCTCCCGGCCTCCACCTATGCTTTTCATGAACTTTTTTTAGGTGTTCCATAGTCCTGATAAAATATTCCAAAATTAAATTTTTCTGGATTATAACCAACAAAAACTTCGCAAAATGGTACGTCCAATGATAATATACAAAACCTCCATGCCTTGCTTTATAAGCCAAATGAATTGATAAATGCTATGTATTTCAAAAAAACTGGTTGAATAATCTTCTAAAGCTTGCAAAGGACTTAAACTATGTAATTTTCTAGATGAATTATATGGTTAACATAAATGGTGCTTGCACAAATGTCAATGAAGAAATAATTCAGTTCAATCAAAGCATCCTATATAATTTTTTATAAAAAAATCACTTAGGCCTCGTTTGGGATTGCTTCATAAAGCAGTTTTTAGTACAAAAAAAATAGTTTTAAGAAGCAATAAGAAGGTCGTCCCAAATAAAGCTTTTGATGAGGACATCAAAAATCAATGGCTACGATATGATCGTGTATATTGATTTTGATGTATTTGATTTGTTATTTGTAATTTTCTCTTTCTACCCTCACTTGAGGGCTTTGTATTATGTTTGCCCTAGGGGCAGTTGTGTCTTTTTATTTTACTACGTGTATTTGGCTATTTAAGCCTTCCTCCTCCTCTTGGAGAGGGGATGATGATTATTGAAATGAAATTCAGCTTTGTTCAAGATCTCTTTGTGAGTTCTAGTTTTGTCTTGATCTCTTTGTGAGTTCATGAGGGTGAAGTCTAGGAGAGGCCAACGGAGTACCCAACAGCTCACCGGCGGGTGAGCTCTTGGTTTTGTGTTTTCTCTTTTATTTTCCTTCATTTTCCTCTCCCCCAATCTGTCACGCCCCAAGATCTAACTTGGAAAGAATGTCAATCTATTTCTCAAACAATTTACCAGAGTTATCTAAAACCTTCAATTAAACAGTCCATCTACATCTATATAAAATTTAAAACATCAATATACAAGT